CCGCCTCCCGGCCTGGGCAGGAACACCTCCCAGCCAGACCCGATGGCCCAAGGCCTCTTCCAGCCTGGCCCTTTGACTTGGGCTTCATGCGGTCCGCATTGGCCCCTTTCTCATCGCTTTAAAGTTACTTTAAAATAACCCGTTTTCTTGCAGACCAGTCCCTTACCTCCCTCTGATCAACCAGCGCTGCCACATGGTTGGTCTCAGCAGGTCACCGGGGTCAGAGTGGGAGACCACAGGGCAGGCAGTTCATGTAATGCCTCCGGAGTGCCACCCCCGGCAGGGCGTCGAGCCTGGGGCTGCCCCCGGCCCTCTGCCACAGGACCTCAACCACTGTCAACACAGCAGGAACCTAACTCTGCTGAGGTGGGGCCGGGCAGAGCCGCTGGGAAAATGCACCATGGTCGTTTTATTTAAATAACAGGGACTTAAAAATTCTGAGTTTTATTACAAGTTAAATAAAATACAGTGGAAATATCAGATTTTATACTTTTACTTGTCTACATACAGCTTATTTAGAGGTGTATATACTTTACAGCTTACACAGTGATGGCCAGTTCAAACTGCCTGGTCTGTGCTTTCAGAAACAACAGATTGTATCAAATAGTGTGTTATATAAAAAATAAACCCACACACCAGTATATTGTACAAAGAAATATTTTTACAGTAATTTGATATCTAAAAATCAGGTTAGCTGCATCTGAAATTCAGGGTAAATTGTCTTCTCTCAAGAGGAACTGATGGATAAATTGCTGAGCTTTCCTCTTTTCGGTTATATCAGGTGTAGGATGTCCAGGAGGAGGTCGAAGCAACAAGCCACCAAATATACTAGCTGCATTAAAAAAAGCCACAGACACCCAGTGAGAGCCCGTCGGCCGCAGGGCATCGAGGGTCACTGCACCAGCCCCTGCCAGGCACGGGGAAGGTGCCTGGCTGCAGAAGGGGTCAGGGAGAGCGGGTGACCTGCGGACCTCTGGGGCACTTCACAGCTGTTTTCAGGCCACTGCAGTGGCTGTTTTTCTATGGACTGTCTGTTCATTATTGAACAAATGCTTCAAAACAGCAGAGGCCATGGCTACACTCGCTTTAGAAAAGCGTTTGTTATACAGACTCCAAAGCCCCTCAGAACAGAATGGTTATTTTGCTCGCCTTACCCAGAATATTCACATCCAAATGGTTTTTCTCTGAATTTTTCAGTAGTTCTCGTAGAAATGCCATTAGATATTCAAATACATTTTTATGGCAGCGTGGCAGGTTAGAGATAATCTGAGGAGGGGAAAAGAAAAACAACATTTACATTGAAGACACAGCAACAGCTTAGCAGCTTTCTCTAAGACATCACCCTCTCTGCAAATACTAACAGCTCTCAGTAACCAAGCAGCACCAGGTTTAGATTCTGTTACCAGATGATTAAGTTTCTGAGAGCAAAACCTGTTACTGGTCTGGCATAAAGGACTCTGCCTCCCCTCTCTCCAGAGCTGCAGCGACAGCCAGGCAGCGGGGCCGGCGATGCCGTACCTGGCAGCTCAGCGGGTAGCTGCTGGCGCTCTCCAAGCAGCTGCTGTAGGACCTGTAGCAGATGACAGGCTCCGGCAGGCTTTCCAGGAAGAGCAGCAAGGCTTCTGCCACCGAGTGGTTGCTGCCAACTAACCCAAAGATGGTTAAGGAAGAGGCAAGCACCTTGTGATCTATTTTGGTCATATTTCTGATGGAAGATTAATGTTTGCTTAGGTCTCCAGAACTCCTCCTGTTGTTCACAGCTGTGCCTCACGTAGCAAGCTGTTTCCAGGAGCAGTCGGACACTGAGGTAATTCATCAACAATCATCTGTCAGCACTCAAGGACCTGGTGCAGGCGTTTGTACCAACTGCAAGGAGCAGCGAGGAACTGCAGATCTCAGCTACCCCAAGAGGGGAGACGGCGATTTAAAAACCATGCTGGAGCACAGAAGACTGATAAAACCTTTTTCAGCTTTGATGACTGAGGCATAGAAAGTCTTACGGACATCAGCCTAAAAGGATACAGAGGGTATCGTGCATTCCTTTGTCCAAACAATCTCGGATTTGCTCAAATTCAGATCTGAGGCCTGGCTGCTGAAACAGGTCCTCCTGCAAAGTCAACCATTAGTCTCAAGGAAATTAAAATTATTAGGGTAAATAGAACAATGTCATTATAAGCTGGCTGGAAAAATCTCATCAAATTGTCCCTGCCCATGGCTGGGGGGTTGGAACTAGATTATATTCAAGGTCCTCTCCAACCCAAACCGTTCTGTGGTTCTATGAAATGCCACCACGAGCAGCTGTAGTAAGGCTGTGGCACTGCACTGCAGAGCCGTGCACACACCCAGGTCACCACCACAAAACAGCGTAACCTGGGCACCAGGATCACTCACCACAGACGTCCTTTATCTCTCTGTACCATTGGTGAAACACCCACAGTCAGCAACGATGCTATTACCAGTATCTCCTTCAAAACTAAACCTAACACAAACACATTATTTCTTGTTTCCAGCACAAACACCACCCACCTGCTGGGAAGCGTTACGGTACAAGTGATCCACCATCATCCACAGCTCTTTTGGAATGTCCGTAGGCTTCTCAGCTCCAAGGGGATCGTCACTCCTTTCTAGTGGCATCAGGGTCTGAGAGAGGGAGGTGTGGTGAGGGGGAAGGAAAAAAGAAAACATAGCTAGCCAAGTTCTTACTCAAATCTGCAAAAATACTTCACGGAGCCTATGTCTGAGAACTAAGACTTGTTAAGAAACCATGCAGCTTCCCTCACCACTCTTCATACAAGACTACTACAAGAGGCACGTTTATATCAGAAGTGCAGACAGAAGAAACAAGCCACTCCCAAACACGTTTCATGTCTGCTCATCTCTCTGGAAATGTTATGTCACACCCCATGCACATCTCCATTCGAGTGCAGAGAAAGCCAAGAGCTCCAGGGAAAAGGCCACTTTAGAGGCTGCACGCCTCTCTTCAAGACACAGGCAGAGCAAATGGGATCCTACTGTCAGTGCTCTCCATGTGGAAGGGGCTGGCTCATCCACAGGAAGAACTAATGCAGGGTATGAAGGTGTGCACCAGAGAGCATGAGATGTACCAGCATTCCCAGACCACGGATCAGGGAAGTGGAAGAAGGCTCTTTAGTGACAATCAGGACTTAACCACGAGGTGTAACAGCTCCTGTGGGTTCAGAAGGGAATCTTGCCTTTCACTCACAAGTTTCCGAATGGATTCTGCTGACATGTCCTGGATCGGTTCCCTCATGTAACAGAGCGTGTGGATGGGAGACCCAAAGCAACTTGGCAAGTAGTTGCCTGTTACAGACAGAAAATAATCCTTCCCCCTGTTAAGATGCAAGACCAAGATATCTTCGAGTTTTTCCTCTCCTGAGTTTAAGTGTGTAGCTGTTGATTTATTAACGAACACCTCCAACTCAACTGTGATCTCAGCATCTGCCAGATGATTGAAAAAAAAAACCAACAAAATTTATCAGTTAAAAAAGGTATTAAACCAATAAGCTTGCAAACAGGCATAACATTCTCAAAACAGCAGAGAGAACTAAGCCAGACGTGTCAATATTAGCTCACTAACATGAGCTGAACAAGGAGGAGCTCACCTGACAGCAGAAAGCCCTTACTGGGATTAGCAATCAGCCACTCCTTGCAGTAGGATTTCTCATCTGGTTTGATGATGAATTCAAACTGGCAAGGCACTTGACCATTGCGGATTGTAAACTTCTCCACCTGCAGCTGCATGTATTTAACATCCTCAAAATGGAACTAGAAACAAACATCAGTCAACATCATCAGTCAATTCCATCTTGCCAAGCACCAGCAGCAATTCCTGTCCTGTGGTTTAATCATTAAGCAGCAAGATACCTAGATTAACCCTCCAGTTCCCCCACCCCATGTCTTTAGGATTCTCAAGGTAGGCTTACATTTGCTTACTCGGGATGCTAAAGTCGTTTGCATCAATGGGCCCCTTAAAACCAATGGTGCCCTCCAGTAACCTCAGTGGAACCCGACAGCAAGATAGCTGTAGACTCAAAGGCATCATTTGCTTATCTTTTTTTTTTTCCCCAACAGACAAAGCAAATGCTAGTTCTGTGACCTCCTCCAAATCCTTCAGAGTTTGCATTTTATGCTCTGACTTTCAAACAAGTCGGAGCAAGGGCCACAAACCACCGTTTACCCTGTCCCTGCCTCAGGGAGTCACACGCCCCGCGTGCCCGCCTGCGACTCACCCACTTCACCTGCCCCCAAACAAACACCCGCAGGGCTTGGAAACAGAGAGCAGCGGAGGTAAAAACATTCTGCTGCTTTGGCACCAGGCCCCAGGGTCTAGAATCCACCCAATGTACTTCTGCCGAGCGAAAGAAGACACCTCTGGGGTCCGGGGCTGCTCAGCCCCCAGCGGGTCCCAGCAGGGACACCCCCTACCTCTGTCCGGGAGAGGGTCACCGAGGGGATGTTGGCGTTCTCCAGCTTGTCCAGGGAGCGGACTATCTCCTCAAAGGCTTTTCGATAGAGCTCCTCGTTCACAACCTTCACCTGAAAAGGACACACACTGCACCACCGGGCATTTCCTGCGCCTCTGCAGAGGGCTGGGGTCCAGCCGGGAGCGCAGGGTGAAGTGGTTTGATTTTAGCAGCACACGCAACGCGACTCGTGAACAGAGACAGGCTCCAACAGGGAAGCACATTGCCAAAACGAGCAAGAGCACCACCCAGTCAGTAGCAGATCAGCTTTTTTGTTGTTGTTTTCTTAAAAATAAAAAAAAAGTTTGACAACACACTACTCCTGTTGTCAATG